TTTTGAGAAGAATCCTGATATGAAGTATTATGATCCATTGATAAGGACTCATGTATGACTTTGTAGAATATATTCATGAAAAAAGCCCCAATTCAGGGTATAAAAGAAAGGCACCAAGCACAGCCATCCTTACCCAGTGTTCCAAGTCCTGGCAGGAGCTAAAAAATTCAATTTAGCAATTGCCTGTAGGAAAAGAGGACCATGAAGTGGCTAATTCTTGCTCTAGTGTGCCTTCACCTCAGTAATGCTATTGTCAAGTGAGTATAGCATAATTAAATAATAGTTTCAATTGCCTTTCAGCTTCAGTTGCTCTCTTAATAAAAAATCTGTTTCAGTTTTTCTCTCTCTCCTAATTGTTTTCTTTCTTAAATGATGCCTGCTTACCTAGCTCCAAAAAGGTTTGGATTGATTTGTGGAAGTCATGGGGACTGTAGACATTACACTTGATGTACCTGCCTTTGAAGACCATCTGGTGGGAAAGTCATGGACTTCCTTCAGCAGTTGGTTGGACACTGCTGGACTAAATGAGTCAGGGATTTGATCCAGCATTTCTTATTACGTTTATGCTCTTAAGCTCATTGCATTTCTGTATTAGATGGATGTCCTTTTTCTAAAATATTCAGACATTTAAATGCCTTTTGGCCATAGTTTCTAGAACAATGTATGCCTTTACTATTTGTATGCCTTTGGGTATGCTATCTTGCCGTACAGTATTGTTACTTTTTCATAGCATTTTTGCTGAAGGATGGCACCCCCAAGTTCAGAAGTCTATGCTGAAGAATAACTGGATTCACTTTATGTTTTGGCTCAAAAGTAGACAATTAGGTAGCATTTTCTTAGGACTACTGCGAAAGATATATACACTAGGATAAGTCATTACAACTCCTAGGAGACCCTCAGATGCACTGTTAAAATTAGGAGTAACAACCATTCTGTGTAGCTTTGATGATAAATAACACCTCTATTTCCTATGTGGATATTTTCAGGATGATGTAATACATTTTTTGTGTTGCATTAGGTAGATAATCCATTCCATTCCATTCCATTCTCTCTTTGCAAAAATAGTGAATCAGATTCTTTTGGGGGAGGGGCATTTAATTAGCTGGAATTATGCAGGTACAGACTCAGCTTCCAACGCTTGATAGAATAGAACAGAGGTCCCCAAACTTGGCAACTTTAAGACTTGTGGAGTTCAACTCCCAGAATTCTGGCTATGCTGAATGGAGAATTCTGGGAGTTGAAGTCCACAAGTCTTAAAGTTGCCAAGTTTGGAGACCTCTGGAATAGACAATATTAGAGCGTTGTTATTATTCAAATTTGTAATGCTGTTGTAGAATAGTAGATTTGATAGGAGGACATTGGAGTCCCTCAGTCTGATTTCCTGCTCAATAAAAAAAAAAATTAACCCCTGAGAGTATCAAACAGGAGTTAGCAGAACTAATTAAATGATACTGAGTTCAGTCCAGGTAACCCCTTAGATCACGTACACAATCTCAATGAAAAAAAAAAAACTCAATATGGGATGTATCTAGAGCTGCCAGTTTGATTCTCTGCTTAACTGCTTACCTCACAGAGTACCCTTAAAAAGATTCAAGTCTATGCGGGAACTGATGAAAGAAAAAGGTGTCAATGGACCTCTCCTATACAAGTATTATGATCCAGCCAGCAAATATACCAACAGTTTTGCCACTGCTGATGAGCCCCTTGCTAACTACATGGATGTGAGTATCTGGTTAGTTAAAGGCAAACTATCACAATTATGTAAATAAACACTGTACTGCAAACCAGGGCATACAAAACCTTCACCAGACCAATTCTCGAATACAGCTCATCTGCCTGGAATCCACACTACAATTGAGCAAGTCCAGAGGCATTTCACAAGAAGAATACTCCACTCCTCTGCTCGCAATAGAATACCCTATGCTACCAGGCTCAAAATTTTTGACCTGGACAACCTAGAACTACGCCGCCTACAGTCTGATCTTAGCTTAATACACAAAATTGTCTGCTACAACGTCCTACCTGTCAACAACTACTTCAGCTTCAACCGCAATAATACATGGGCAAACAATAGATACAAACTCAAAGTAAACCCCTCCAAACTCAATTGCAGAAAATATGACTTCAGCAACAGAGTGGTCGATGCCTGGAACTCACTACCTGACTCTGTTGTTACATCCTCCAACCCCCAAAACTTTAACCTTAAACTGTCTTCCGTGGACCTCACTCCATTCCTAAGAGGTCTGTAAGGGGTCATGCATAAGCACACCAGCATGCCTACCATCCCTGTCCTACTGTTCTCATTTATTCGTACTCATTTATTATATACTGTATATACTTATACTTGTTTTCTCATACATGCTTGACAAACAAATGTCAAGATGAAAACTTGAAAGGAAAAGTTTACATTAATTGAGAAAATCATAGGCCTGGTTCCAACTGCAAATGTGTTATAATTTGAAAATCTTGCTAACATCAAACACAGTTACATGTACCCAATTAACCATGAAGCAGGTATGAAAACCTAATTGAATTGTAAGTGTACTTATGTGGCTATACAGAACCTACTAAAAAAAAAAAAAACAACTATTACAAATCAGTTTGAATTCTAAAGCCACGTTTCTGAAATTTTTATTTCTTCTAAATTTTTGCCTATAGATATTCCTAAAAGATATTGAACAATATGTTTTAAGTGTGTACAGAATGTTCTGTGGGATGTGTTAAGTCCTTCCATTATCAACATTCAAGTGTGGAAGCCCTGAATGATGACCAGGTTTTCCTTTTTCTAGCTGACCTATTATGGACAGATCAGTATTGGAACTCCACCTCAGAACTTCATGGTTCTCTTTGACACTGGGTCGTCCAATCTCTGGGTGCCATCCGTCTATTGCCAAAGTCAGCCTTGCAGTGAGTATTCTTTCTCATTCATTTAAGAATAAAAAATACCCAATTTGTGGAATACCTTTTTGTCCTCCACATCAATTATACTGTTATTAAACCAGGTTTTGTTATTGATTCAAAAGTAAAACCTTCTCTCTCCCACTCTCGTATCTATCACCAGACAACCATCCATTATTTAATCCCAGCCAGTCTTCTACTTATTCCAGCAATGGACAAACTTTCTCTATGCAGTATGGAAGTGGTAGTCTCACTGGGGTCTTTGGCTATGATACTGTAACGGTAAGTAGCAGTTCTCACCAAGTGGAAAGTATTTGTTTGACATGATACTCCTAGCACAAGGCAATATTATTAATGTTATACAGTGGACAGTATTGTGGTCAGTGACTGAAATCAAAATGATTATGATAGTAATGAACTGAATCTTGAAAACATTCAAGCCTGCAAAGACTTAAATCTCATAGAAAGAGATTGGGGCATTTTCACTGGTCTTACCTTCTGTTGAAGTATCATGGAGTTTAGCTAAAGTCCTCATATTGCAGCCTAGGGCTTTGATGGATGAAGAAAGGATATTTTTAGTATTTAGCATTTATTTGATTTGTCAATCGCTTACAAGATACAGGTATAAGCATAAACATAGTTTTGAATTCATGAGATAGATACTTATAAGAAAAAGAAAAAACAATAGGACAGGGACGGTAGGCACGATTGGTGCTCTTATGCACGCCTCCTACAGGCCTGTTAGGAAGGGGGTGAGGTCAATAGTAGACAGTCTAAGGTTAAAGTTTTTGGGATTTGGGAAAGAAACCACAGAGTCAGGTAGAGTATTCCAGAGATTGACCACTCTGTTGCTGAAGTCGTATTTTCTGCTAGCTGGTTGATCAAACACCTCCCGATCCTTTCCAAAGATCAGTGGATAGTCGCCTGGGCAACACAACACCTTCACTGTTGTGAGAGGGGAAATTAGTAGGAGCTGGTGGGGATACAGAGTAGGAATTCCTAAGAGGCCCTTAAAGATCCTTAAAGGTGGCGTGCATAAGTGCACCAGCGTGCCTACCTTCCCTGTCTTTCTCTCCCCATTTTTCTGTATTTTAGTTTAGTTTACTTTATTGTCTTGTACAATGCACCTCGTACAATGAAATTAAACACTTCTTTTGTTCTTGTTTATGTTCATACTTATACTTGTTATCTTGTACATGTTTGACAAACAAATAAAATAAATAAAATAAGATAAATTCAACCAGTGTTAGCCCCCTGCTCTGAGATCCCCAAATAACTAGCCTTTTCTTTTTTCCACATTGAAGTATCTATTTTGGTACTCCTATTCCTTGTGAACACCCTTCTCATAACATTAGCTCTTCCAGTTGACTGCATATTTATGTGTTGAACATTTGAGAATATAAGAAAGTCTGAATGAGAGGTTCTCTTGTTGAATCTATCCGTTTATATAAAAAAGGCTAACATTTTGAAAATCTTTTTAATATATTTCATGATCAACTGACCATAATGTTAGACAGGTTTCCCATCCTCAAATACTCTGCACAGTGAATTATTCCTCCATCACAACCAAATAGATTAGCTATCCATAATTTCAATTTTCTGAACTTCTGTTAGGCTATTGTGCTGTATACTTTTCCTATCTTATGACGTGTCCTGTTCCTTTGTAGATCCAAGGCATTCCTATTACCAATCAAGAATTTGGCCTAAGTGAAACTGAGCCTGGCACTGCTTTTCTCTATTCAAAATTTGATGGCATCCTGGGTCTGGCCTATCCCTCCCTTTCCGTTGGTGGTGCCACCACTGTAATGCAGGGAATGATCCAGGAGAATCTGATTGATGCTCCTATTTTCAGCTTTTACCTGAGTCGGTGAGTATGAAGTCTTTTCTACCTTTCTTGTTTTTAATTTGGCGGTTTCCACTTACTATAACGATTGTTTCTCAATTGTCGTCTATACTTTGTACACAGCTTACAACCTATGTCAACAAGAATTATGGAGAACATTTCTATGGTTGGAATTTCAAGATGGACAACTTAAGATCACAGGGCCTTTTTAACCTTTGGATTTTCACATTGCGTAATTGTTTTAGAAAGCTATCCAGTTAAAGTTTCTGTAAGATACTTATAGTAGATTCTCTTTGGATTACAGATTTCAGATCCAAGAAAGCACTTCACATTAATTTAAAAGGCAGACAGAGAGAGGGAAGTTTTGAAAATATCAACTTTACATTGTTACGTAGTACCAATATTTAGGTAGGACCGAGGAAGAATGATTGTTCTAAAAACATTCTATCAGTTTATGGCAGGATAGATATTTGAACACATAGCCTTTTGGTAACGCTTACTAAAATCTCAGCCTCTCTAAAGTATTACTGAGTCCTAGCTATGAAATGTTGCCCTTGCCTTTCTCTTAAAATTATGAGAAAAATGCTTCTCCGGTTGCTTGATAATTTTTTTCCTGTTAAATTTTTCCCCCTGTGGTTTAGGATTTCTTTAGAGTTTTAAAAATGATTCTTGAAATTACTGGTATAGAGAGTAGTATTTTTACCTTATCGTATTAGTCCTTTACTCTGTGCACCTCCTGATTTGCCGGATGATCTCACCGGACTCTTTAGCACTTTTCAGGATCGACACAGAGAAATGAAAAGACCTGTTACCTGTCATCCTGGACAATAGATTTAAGATATCAGAAACAGATTCCAGATTAGTATTTTTAAACATTTCCTAACTGGAAGAGCAGTTTGATAGTTAACCAAATACCCAGAGAAGTGCTGTGCTCCTCTTCAACAGATTTGTTAAAGAAGATCATAATGAATGACCATTCATGGCTGGTTTAAACCAATGTTTTTCACGCTTGGCAACTTTAAGGTGGGTGACTTCAGTTTCCAGCATGCTAGCTGAGGATTTCTGGGAAGTCTACCCAACAGAAATTGCCAAGTTTGAAAAAAACCTGGTTTAAACTGAATTCTACTCCAGATAGTGAGAATGGATTATCTAAACGGCCGCTTCTATTTCTGGGGTTGCATAATACTGAATTTTGACACTAGGCAGCCCTTCAAGGTGGGTATGATTTCACAATGAAAAGGTCCTCACACAGAGAACCTTCAGTCAGCTAAAAAGAAAACACTGGTATGAACCAGCAATATAATCTCAATAAGGTTGTCCTTCTCCATTGATCTTATTAGGCAGCCAAGTTCCCAGAATGGTGGTGCACTTATACTTGGAGGAGTCGATTCCAGTCTCTACACTGGTCAGATTAATTGGAGTCCAGTTACCCGAGACTTATATTGGCAAATTGCGATTGAAGGGTAAGGCTGTTTTCAGTAGTAATATTTACCGAAGAACCTGATGGAAAACCAACTTAAGTATTACATGACGAATAGTCTCTTGGAGATGGGATTTTGAAATCTCTACGTCAAAGGACACTAGTGGGGCCTCAGAACCATTCCGAATGTTGCAATTGGTAGTTTTTAATATGACAGAAGGCAAAAATATTAAATGGAGAGGTATCCAATTGAATGTAATATTAATAGTGCTTAGACTGATATACCGCTTTACAGCCCTGTCTAAGTGGTTTACAGAGTCAACATATTTCCCCCAACAATCTGGGTCCTCATTTTACCAACCTCAGAAGGATGGGAGGCCGAGTCAACCTTGAGATTTGAACTGCCAAATTTCAGCCAGCCAGCAGTCAGCAGAAGAGTCTCTGGCTTCCTACACCAAGGCAACTCTGATTCTACTAGTTGCAGCTGGTCAGCAATCATTAATTTTGTACTCTACAAATATGCCTTTCCAGTTTGCTTTTATTTCTGGGACAATAATCTTTTTTTCTTTTTGGAAACAGCCCCCCCCC